AATTTTATAAAATTCCTATTTTTTTGTTCAACATATGAATGTAGACTAAAAAGAAAAGAAAGACTTTTTATTGTGCTCAACTCCGCAACATGCATTAAAGTTAGATATATTGATATGTTCTACTATTACAATATTTTCAATTATTTTTGCAAAAAAAAAGGCCCCTTTCAAGCCCTTGATACTCCATTCTCAATTTCAAAGACTTTCAAGGATGTGTATGCACCCTATATTCAAACTTGTTTAGCAAAATTGTGGTAATATAGTGTGCATGCAACAGTAACTATTCAAACTTGTTTAGCAAAATTGTGGTAATATAGTGTACATGCAACAATAACTATTCAAACTTGTCTAGTAAAATTGTGGTAATATAGAGTACATGCAACAATAACTATTCAAACTTGACAAGTAAACTTGTGGTAATATAGTGTACATGCAACAATAACTATTCAAACTTGACAAGTAAACTTGTGGTAATATAGTGTACATGCAACAATAATTATTCAAACTTGGCTAGTAAAATTGTGGTAATATAGTGTACATGCAACAATAACTATTCAAACTTGTCTAGTAAAATTGTGGTAATATAGTGTACATGCAACAATAACTATTCAAACTTGTCTAGTAAAATTGTGGTAATATAGTGTACATGCAACAATAACTATTCAAACTTGTCTAGTAAAATTGTGGTAATATAGTGTACATGCAACAATAACTAATCAAACTTTTTACATTAATATACTGTGAAAGTTTGTAAGCAGGCAGTTTACCTGAAGCACATGGAGGAACAGCATTCTTTAACTCTGGAGCACTGGTAGAGCCACTGATGACGGCTGTACTAAATAGGCTAGCAGCAGGTCCACCTAGATGTAAAAATCCTGAAAACAAGAACCATTACTTATGATTTACAGAATATACCAACTTTTCAAACAACTAAATATGGTATATTTTTTCTTGCTGTTGAGTTTATCTTTTTTTATACATGCTATTTTGCAAAGCAGCTAAAAATGTGAAAAAGTTAGTATTCATTTAGTTTTTGTAGGCTATGTTTTAATATTTTAATTCAGACATTTTCTATTTTTGCTTGAGGGAGTTTTGACAAGGTGTAATGATGATGTATGGCACATAAAAATTTCCTGATTTTCCAGATTTGATGTGACATGCACATAACATCTGAAATTGTTTAGAGACTTGATGAAAAACAAATACTGTACAAAATACTAACACCAGTGACTGAAAAGATTACAGGACTTTCCAGGACCAAACAGTAATATTCAAGGACTAAATTTACTGATTTTAACAGAATGTACACTATATCAAAATTGAATAACTAATGTTGTTAGATATACACATCTTTTTAAGCTTAATGCAAGTGTTATGATTTAGACAGCTTAAGTATAGTGCAAGTGTTAAATTTAGTTATTTTTACAAGCGGTAGTTTATTGTAGTTTACGTAACTGTGTACAAATCATAAGTTTAGTTCAACTGTTGTGAATTGGCATTTGTTGTATTATCGTGTCACGTTACTAGAAACTCCTTAGTATTTCTCATTGTTTCAATTTAGTATTATTGCATCATATTATAGCGTATTGTGTAGAACGTTCTAGGCCTCAGTCAGGCTATAAATACGCATACAAAATATAGTTCAAGTAAGTAAGACAAAGATAGATACTTAAAGTGTCTGTTTGTGAGTTTAGCTGTAAAGCATATAGTGGCATCCTTTTTTTTTAAGTGAAATTATTGCAGATTGTATGGTAACAACAGAGTAGAGAAGAATAATTTGTCTTTTCAGTTGTGTTCTAAAGTAACTGAACCAACCCCGGTGATTAAATGTGCAAGAAACATTTGGATATATGTTTAACTTGGTTTTATATATATATATATTTGTTTAAAACAAGTGGACTTTGTGCTGTTTGTTTATCATTGAAATTTACTGCCAACAAGTCATGGACACCTACTGTAAAGAATTCTGCCTACACATATGTAAACACCTGTCAAATGCTTTATTACATTTCATAAAAAAATACAGCATGGATTATTTCCATGGATACTCTTGACTAAAGTTACACACAAATTACTTAAACCATTTAAAAAAAGTTAAAACAACACAAACCCAAAAATGCACAACACTAAGTATCTCTTTGGTCATCAGAACACAAATTCTCTGTAGCTTTATTTCCTTGGATGCTCTCGACTTAAGTTACACTCAAATTATGATGTACCACATTTGCACTTTCCTGGTATACTTTCACTAACACCTAAACTAGTACAGTTTTGGCTTTAATGGACCACTCCTGCCTGTTTCTATTAGAACAGAATGGCATTCTGGTTTCTATACTGAGGCCTCCTTCAGGTTGAAGCCCAAGCAGCACTCCATTAAAGCCAAAACTCTACTTTGTTTACACTGCTTAAAATACCCTAGAAATAACACCTGAGGTATAAAAAAAACACTTATTCAAGCAATATAGAAAAACAAGCTATGATTCAAGTCTTGTGAAGAAATTCTGAATAACCACACATAACTGAACAAAGCACTAACGAATCTTTCATTATTTACAGTCACCTACGTGTACTTTAACTTTTCCCAATTTCAGTTTAATAACAAGTAACAAAACCTTACATTTTTTTCCAAATATTTTAAAATAGCCCATTGAGCCACGAACCTTTAGCTTGTACCCAGTAAAAAGTAATACTTAGTGAACAATTCATTTCAACTTGTCAACAGAACAACAAATTAACATGTACCTGACCGGTTGCTGAATGAACATCACTATTCCATCAAATAAAATTCACGCTAGTATTGTTTCTGATATTGTTGTGAGCATTAACAATGTTTTATATATCTCATGATCTTCCTACACAGTGCATTCCATTATTTTTAAATATTTTCTCAGTTTACCTAGCAAAGAATTTTTCAAAGAACAGGAAACCTTGTGGGTTAATAAAGTATTTATATTTCAATGAGGTGCTCAGCCTTTAAGTTTCCTTGAAGGATTACAATAACACATACCCATAGTTAAATGATATTAAACAATAATTTTTATGAAGAACTTAATTTCTTGTCATGTTTGTCAGTCATAATGAGGTATGATAATTACATGTAAAATAATGAATTATTCTTTTCTAATCTTATTAATTTTAGATTTGAAAAAAACTAGCTAAAAATAGTACAAAGGGAAAATATCATTAATAACATACATCACAATAGTGTATCTTGAGTCCTTATAGTCTCTTGAAACCAAAATATTTAGAATTGAGGACCAAAATTTAAAATGTCACTCAACACATTCTGTCATAACGTGGACTGGATTTTGCATTATTTTAAACAAATAATAAGAAAAAAAACCTCCTAATGATAAAATCTGTTACAATATTGGTATAGAAAGTGGGATTATTTCGGTCAAAATAAAATAGAAACTAGGCCAAAATTCAAAATGACTACACATGCACTAAGTGATATAAAATATCTGCTGTAGTCCCAGCTTCTCAATACATGAACATAAGCAATAATTTGTATAGATATGGTCATCTCAGGTTTCTTATGTACAATTAAAAATAAAAATAAAAGTTCTAGTTAAAGGTAACAGTCAGCAAAATATTCTGGTTAAATTAAAAAGAAACATATATTATGATTTTAATATATTGAGACTTGCAAGTATAAAATCAAAAAGAGCATAGACAAATTCTAACTTCATATTTCAATTTCATAAATAAATAAACAACTTTACTTTTAGTGAATATGTTTTATATGGAAACAAAGTTTCTCATGGGCCTTTTACTTTTAACTGAGCTTCTCATACCATCAGCATAATAAAAATATTTTACATGTTTATAATTAATTATAATTGTGAAATTCATTTTGGATCAAATACTTTAAAAAATTCACTAATAAATCTCAATAAGAAAGTTGTCAGAATTTAAATATAATTCTTTTCATTTTTCACTAGTTGTCAAAATAAAAGACTTACTTATATTTCTTAATAGTATAAATATATATATACTATATTGTTGTTGGGCTTAGGATTATACTACAGTAGATGTCTGTGACTTGTTTATGATAAATTCAATGATAAATAAACAGCACGCACTTCACCTGTTTTCAAATAATATATAAACGAAACAAGTTAAACCTATGTACAACAAATTCTTCACACTATAGAGATTATAGGCATATCATCAACACTATATGTACAGTGTTTTTCTTCTTGTCAAAAGCCAATCTATCTTGTCTATTACTATCGCACTTGTATTCTATATGTGATTCACTTACAATTGTGGCACGAGTTACCATAATCGTTTGGTCCTCTTTCTTCTAAATATCCTCTGTTCCTTTTGTCAAGGTGCACTCAGGCTGATTCCAATTACTTTAGAATTTTGCTTTGATGAAATAAATTATTTTTTTCTTATCTCCTTTTCTACTGTTAGTCTTACTCTAACATGTTAAATGTTAGGCCTATATCAATTGTTAGGCCTATCACTTCTATGGTAGTTAATTTCACGCCAAACTTTTCCTAGTCCTGTAACTTTACCATGTTTTGCTATTATGTTTCTGCTATTGTATGTCTGCTGTTTTTGCTCATCTCACACTATTTATATTTTTATCACTTACTCGTCTGCCTGCCTTCTATATTCTCTACATCAATGTATTGCACGTGATGTTCTACAACATCAATGAATTATTAACAAAACTTCAGACAATCGTCTGCTTGTAACTTATTATAACAAAAACTAAACAATAATAAAATATTCATTCACAAAAATAATTTAATAGTATTTAAACTAAACAGTCTTTTATATCATGACAAAAATGAACAGCCTTTTTTTCTTTTTTTTTTAGCAAAGAACTTTTCACTTCAAAGTTAAACCTTGCAGAACCTATTTTAGAGGTTTGTACCCTATCAATCACAGTAGGCTAAGAATTCATAAAATTTTAAAGGACAAAAGGAGCTTATTAGATTTGAATTCAATTAAAAAAATTATTTTTTACACACTGCATTAATTAAGTTTTTAAACAAGGGTTGAGAGTAAGATAAAAAGAATTTTTCTACATGTGTATGTGCTTAAAATATGTTCATTCTGCAACTTTTTTTCAAATCCTTTAGAAAGTTCTTAAAGTTAAATACAATGAAAAATGACTACATAAAAGACAGTTTTTAAAGCTAAGTAACATAAAAAATTACTACACAAAAGACAAATCTTCTCAGAATTTATCTTTATGAAGTATAACCAGGTTTGAGATGGCAAACCAACAAACTTAGAAAATGTGAAAAAAAGATGCTCCCAACAATGATATCCAACTTCATGTGTTTATGCACATGTAGCAAACACAAACATATGAAAACTTGACAGCAGTAGCATTATACATGCAAAGCTGTAAATTTTTGTTACTTTATTTCAATGAAAGTAACTACATTTTATGAAAGTTATAAATGAAGATAACTGAGGCATAAATCATATTTAATGAGTTACCCTTAGATCTTCCGAGACAGAGAATAAACAGCACATAAGTTTACAAAATATACTTTTCTGTTTAAAAATGGTGGCAAAATTTTTAGCAACATCAATTCATTGGGATAAAATTTTTTCATTTTCTATTTCTTTTTATTTTATTTTCATAAAACACTTGACTGTTATTCTTTACAAGAAATGTACTGTAAAATACTTTCAGCATAATTTTCTGTCTCATGGACTGAATTGTTTTTTTTAACAGGGTTTGATAACATAAACAAGCATTTCTGAAAATTAAGTCAAATACTGTAACCAAAATGAAAATAATTACAAGTTAGCCATGTGCTTAAACTCAGTCAATGATAACACAGCCAGGCATTTGGATTAAAATATGTACACCTTGTTGATGTTAACTAAATATGGGGGGAAAAGAAGTTAACAGGTGACTAGATTAATTCATCATATACATATGTGTGTGTGTGTTATTTTTGACATTTAACAAAACAGTGTGCCAATGTGAAGTCTTTTACAGTTATGCCTGGATCAAGTTATGATGTTAATACTCCATTTTCCTAAATCTTTAACCCTTTCTGGACTGCTAAAATGGCACTTGTGCCTCGTTTGTTTTGTTCTCACACTTAAAATGTTTAATCTAGTTGCATGACATTTAGTACACACTTTGTACATAATATCTAGCTTGTATCTGAGAAAAACATTATATAATTAGGGTTTAGTATTTGTATAATATTTAAGGATGTGAATTTTCTGAAATTTTGAAAGGTTGTTCTTAAAACTATTAAAAATTGTTCCTTTCATTTTACATTTCTGTTTTTTATTATTATTAATGTCTGTGTTGTTCTGCTAACAGCATACTCATTTTCTCATCTGTTCATATTGTTACGACAGCAGAGGTCACGTGACGCTAGTAACACGTCATGCGCTTCCCGAACGTTCACATCCCTTCCTGAAATCTCGAGAGCCTACTAGATATGCGGTAGTCTTTTATATGTAAGACGGTCAAGACGTGATGGCAACAATGTAATGTAATGAGTAATTGAACTGCGGACAGAGAGACGTATTGTTGAGTTGAGCACTTGAGACGTTCGTTGTGAATTATAGCGTTTGTTATAGCGCGACGGTGGAAATTAAGTGTATTGCAAAGTTGTATTCAGAAAGAATAAACCAGTTTTATTTAAGAAAGGACTTGTATCGCTAAAGTTTCTTCGGAGAGAATTTTTACGGAAAATTAACTAACGAACGGAGGCGTAACAATATAAACCCTTATATACAATGAAAATAACTAATACAAATATATGAAGGAAAACTGGATTTTGTTTCACATCATTCATCAGAAACTTCAACTGTATATATACAATGAACTCTAACTTGTATTATTTTGATCAATTATTTATATTTATTACTTATCTTTCCCTGCTGAAGCAGTTATGTAGCTGTAGTAACAGCATAAAACATCAATGAACAGTAAAAGTCCTGACTGGTAGAAACACAACTTGCTCTTGTATTCTAGGCCTACACTGTTATAGACATATTTTTCTAACTATATTTTAGGGTCAAGCTCAATTACTCTCAAATAATTATTGTTTGTTTTAAATAACTAAGGAGTTGTTATATTTGTTTGTGTTGTTTGAATAACTATAACTTTACTAATACACACATATAAAAAAGCTTCTGTGTCATTTGAAAGTTTGCCGTTACAGAACTTACACCTTACTGTATTTACTAACCTTAAATATCCTTACCAAATGTTTTCTCAAACAAGAATAATATTCCTGTAGCTTTCAAAGAGGCATTGTCCTAAGTTTTGTAAACTTTATATACTTTATTCTCCACTATAAGAATTTCCAATAGTCATTTTCACAGAAACATCACTTTATTTAATTTATGTAGACAGACAAGAATCTTTTCTATCTAATCATTTATAGCTAGCTGTTGGTTGTAGCTGGTTTCTAGGTTAAGATTTATCATTCACCATCCAATGCTTTTGCTGTGACATAAAACCCTCTCCACACAGCATTACTGAAATAAAATACCTGAGAGAAAAGGATGTCATGTGAGAAACAAAGCATGGATAAGTCTATTTCTAATAGATAACAGAATCTGAGAAAAACTCTAAAAGTGTGTTGTTTACAACTGATATCCCTGGAGCTACTCAGTTCAAACATTTAAAATCAAATTATTTTTATTCTTAAAACATTTCAAAGTGAGAGTTACTATTTTTTACTTAAAATTTGATACTTGATATGCAAATGTGCACTCGACACCAGAAGGTTGCTCTCCAGTTGTAATAAAGTGTATAATGACATTTAATGACACATCATTTAGTTTTTGTGTGAAGTAGTCGAAATCACTGTATGAAACAAGTAATGATACAAAAAGGGTGGGGTTATATTCTTGTGGTTTTATGTTAAAAGACTGGAATAAAAAATTATAAGAGCTTAAGAGACCTAAGTGAGAAATCTGATGTCTATATTTTCAATATTTAGCTGCTCTTCTTTTGGTAATGCATTGAAGAGGAGTTCTAGACTATAGTTGTTCTAGTTAATTATTATAATCTTTGTAAAGACAAATATAATCTGAAGGATTGATATAATATACAAAAGCAGAAATATTCTTACCAGAGATTTTAGGGAGATCTGCAGCACTACACATACGGAGATAGGAACTTAACTGGCCTGGGATGGAGTGCCGATGGCGCCGAAAACTTCCTGTGAATATTTAGATATGTAAACTGTTCATAATTTACTGAACTCCAGGAAAAAACATTAAAAAGCATTGTGACTCATATTTGTATTTAAGAAATTATAATAGTCTTCTTTTTTTCTATTCTAGAGCAACAGTTAACAATAATAATAAATGTTTCTTAAAATGATCAAGAAATTAACCCTCACTTGTCTGAATATATCATAAACTGTGTGGTGTTTTGAGAAAATATATAACAAAAAACTTAAATTTATTATAGGTTCGAATACAACATCACAAAGAAAATGTTTACCATAATACAGTAATTCCAAAATTGTCAAATATGTAAATGTTCTGTGAAAGTTGAAGTTTCCTATCTTATTTATAAAAGTGGCACCAAAACATGCCCATAAACTCATTAAAAATCTTTCATTATCTTGGGAGAAAAATGTTGTTAAGAATGTTAATGAAAAGCTACTCAAGAACTACATATGCATAGCCATCCCTAACTTCAAGGTGACGGACTACAGGAAAGGCAGATAGTCAACAGCACCAGCCCTCAACTCTATTCCTGACTGACTGAATAGTTGGAATTGAGAATCACTCTTATAGTGCATCCACCACCCAAAAAAAAAGTGAAATAGGGATCTGAGTCCAAACAATCAATGAAATTTAATTGTTTAACTCAATTATCAAGATGAACAAATGCCATTCAATGACAGAAGTTAGTCTACAGCAAAAGTTAAGCTGTTTAACTCTATGCATGGGTCTGTCAACTGGACCAGAAGAATCAATATTTGCTGTAATTCTGAATTTACTAGGTGTATCTTCATACAATTTGTCAAGCTTTTAGTAAACATTAAAAGTCTTTGTATTCAAAAAGTCTGAATTTTTAATAATGTATTTTTACTAAAGATTAGCCTGTGAATTTACTGAGTTAGTCTGACTACAAGTTGATTTTCATATCAAAAATAAAAATGCTTTTTTCCATCTTACAGTTTCCTTTTTCATTTGCATAACCTCTACAACATCTTAATTATATATCAAGATCTTTCAGTAAAATTTTATATTTCATCTGCCATTTTGTTCACCCTAACACCTGAGAATGATCACACCAGTGAATGAAACATGTCTGATATTTTTAAAAAAGCTTATCAAGATTCAAGTTGTAACTAACCTATACACTTTAACTATTCAGAAAAACACATCTTTTATCGTTCTAAAACTGATATTAGTAATAATGGAACCAAAAATCTAAGAAATATTCTTAAACACAAAATATATGTTTTATTAATTGCATTTACAGTGTGGATAAATCAACTCACTAAATAACTTTTATCTTGAGAAGATAATTTCATGACTAATGGATTATTAATTATTAGGTTATTCATAACATTTTCTATAATTTAACTAGTTTTCTATGTTTTTTGTGACTTTAAATCCAAAATTCTCAAGTTCTTGAAGTAAATTTCGAACTCAGCTTTGTTAATTTCTTTTTCTAAGCTGAAAGTAACAGATTATTTCAAGTTTATTTAAATTTGTGAAAACATAATTTTGTCCTAATTCATCTCTTACATATAAAGAAAAAAGCTAAACATTAAATTGGTTAAGATTACAATATCAACAAATTGTAAAAACAAAGGAAGTAGGTTTAAATAAAATTGCAGATGTTAGCCGTACAGTAACACCACCACAAAAAAAAAAAAAGATTCTTGTTTATGCTCAATTTAAAATTTCATATTTGGACTACCTTTTATTGGATACTTTAGTGCATAATCAACAACAAAGTTTTGAAGTAAAAATTTATCTCAAACCAACATTTACTGGGTTATATATTCACTCTGACATTAAAAATTATTTGGTAAATGTTTTCATTGACTATATTTGCAGGATTATGAAATGATATACCTTGTTACATGAAAAAATGAATTCAGAACATCTTGAAACTTCATGAACAATAGTTACATTGAAACAAAACATGGCCACCCCTAAACTTTTACAGTTTGATATCCCCAGGAGACATGTAAGAGCAGCATTATATACGGGGCAATAGTCTTAATATGTTAAGAAGGCATCAGTTTCTTTGCTTGGCAAAGTTAGCCTGCAATTTCAAATAAAATGTAAATTAGAAATTTATTTTAATCTAATGATGTCATTTCAAAGAATAAAAGCTAGGCCATTTATTGTATACAAATTCATGTGTCCTTGCTGAGTGAAGGAATGTTTATAAGATCCACCAATAAGTGTTTGCTTCAGTACAAAAGAATACCCTCCTACAAAATTTGTGAATATATCCAGTATTTATCAGCATGTCATGACAGAATGTAATGTTGCTATTAAAGCTGACAAAATTATCAGATTTAGTGAAATAGAAGATTAAAGCTTGGCGACTGTATATATAGAGCCAGCTCTGAACTAACAGAATCCAGCAATTCTGTTTCTCCTTAAACTGAATGAACCTAATCAATCACCAGTGTTGTGTAATTACTTGTGTTAGATGTAACTAACAACAAAAATAACATGTACAATGGTAAGGCAAAACAACAAAGTGCAAAGTAATGAAGACAAAATCAATTTCAGAATCCACCATGTAAAAAAATTAAAAATGTTTGAGAGAACTGTAAAAAATTACAGATACTTCAAACTAAATGGCTTATATTAAAGGATTAATACAAACTATATAAAAATAAGTTAACAGAAAGTAACTGGTGTGGTTAGTTCTACTCTCACCTGTGCCATTATTTCCTTCTCCATTAGTGCAACTGACATCTTCTAGACTTTGAGTGAGAGAGCTATCTATAAACAAAATACCAGACAGACTCACAGAGAGAGCACATGCTTGTATAAAAGAGAAGACTGGAGACTAAGATAGTTTTTCTCATACTGGAAAAAGTTAGTTTGATTAAGAAATTGTTTAAAGTAAGCTTCTCTTCTACCTAATATAAGAATGAAGTAAGAGCTACAGTTACGACATAATAATGGATCTTTTTTTTTTGACCAAGTGTACTGATGAAAATGTAATTAAAATCTACTCCCATTAAACACTTCAATGTATCATAATTATTCAAAACTGACTGACACTGTTTTTTATTTGACATATGCTTATGAAATAAATATCATGTATAATTAATATGACAGTGATGGAAAATTAGAATCAAGGGAAATAGTTGCTTATATATGAAAGGGCTAAAATTAGGACATTTTTTGGCAAAATGAGATGCTGATACTTTCAAACACACACACACACACAAATATTACATGTGATATGGAAAAACTAAACAGAAAAGAGTTGTCTTGCTTAAGGTCTTTCCATCATACTGGTTGGTCAACAGGAGTAACATGACATGGTCTGGTATTTCGGTGTTTATTTATTACATGACTGTGAACAACAAACAATGTAATACGTAAACTTACTTCCAAAAGGCTATATATTAACTTTCACTGATACAAACAATACATTTAACCATCTCTTTCAGGCTGATTAAATTCTGAAAAGTTTAATTTAAATATCTCGCAGACATATCTAACATTAAGGACAAAAAGTGAAAATTTCTTTACTGATACCAAATGTCCAGAAAAAAATATTTTTGAAAATAAAGACAGTGCATGAAATAGCATTATTCTATGATATTACACTATCATGTATATCTACAATTAGAAGAACCACATTGTTGCAGTATATTATTTTGCCTTCCCACTACTGGGAGAATAGTTTGACTGATGGTGGTGTTTTTTTAATTTCATGAAATAAAATACTTTGACATAAAAGGGAGTTCTTACTGCACATTATCAATTCAATTATTAAATCTATACACAGCAATAAAACTGAAATAATGCTTATGTTTATATCCATTTTATTACAGTGAACTGTCACAGAAAACCCTTTAAAATTTGTTACACTTCTTGAGATGTGTCATAGGCAAATCTGGTAACCAATATATTGTTTTACAGTGAACTGATAAGAAACACTTACAGTCTTTGTGATGTGTTATAGGCAAATCTGGTAACCTGTTTAGTGTATTATAGTGAACTGACAAGGAAAACCCTTTAGAAACATTAACAGTTTGTGAAGTGCCATAAGCAAATCTGGTAACCCACTTTTTCAGTAAATAGTCATTAGTATAATAAAAAAACTTAAAAAATACATTAAAATAATCTATGTAATAATGTAAAAATTAGATTAACACCCTTGTGTATCATACCACAAATCCAATTTCAGTCTGACAAAAGCCCAGTTTCTCTATTGGCAACTTCAACACTATAACACTGGTGTTTTCAAAGTGGGCATTAAAAAAACAATACTATATATTTGAACAGAAAGAGTATTTTTTTCAAAAGCAATTTATATAAGTGAGATATAATTGGCATCAAAGACACCAATGTAATCCAAGTGGAACCAAATATGTTCACATATAGGCTTGAGAAAACATTTCATCTTGATTATTTGTGAATCTGATTGTGATATAAAAGTATGAGTGTAAAAATGATCTGGGTAATTGTGAGTAATCCAAAAGTATTAGTATTAATTTACAGCTTGGACTGTGTACATTTATTATCCATCATTATTTTAGAGGCAGAATGTCACACCACACTACAATGTAAATCTACTAAGATAATTTTTATAGTTCATAAAGCTGATGTTTTTTCACTCTCCTCACTTGTTGTCAATTATTTGATGTTACACATTTTTGGACTGATCACTTTGTCAAGCAACTTACAACAATCCTCTTTATATTTTATTTTTACTTTCCAATTTTCTGAAAAGGAAACTTCTCCTATAATTTTAACAAACCCTTTCTTTTTCCTCATGTTTATTTGACAAATGTTTTGAATTAGTTTCATTCTTGTTCAATTTCGTTTTTTCATGTATTACTGAAAGAGCTTCTGTAGATTTTTAATAGTTTAAAAACTGTACAAATAATTTGGTATCACAATACAACTTTTATAATTTTAATCTTCTTTTTTAATGTTGGGTACTTTTAGTTATTTGGTTAGTTGAATTATAAACTACTATTTACATTTAATTATTATATTTCGTGACAATGCCAATCCATTTGAACCTAGTTATGACACATATACAACTTAACATTAATTTTGTTAATGATACTGATCAATTTTTCACTTTTATAGTGCACCAATTACAAAGATCCATCACTAGAAAACCAAGAGAACCTGTTCTAGGTTAGTTTAAAAATATTTGCACAAAAAAGTTAGTAGAAAAAAGTGATTTGAAAAATCTACATCAAGATTATACTTGAAATTACATTTGGAGAATAATTACAGACTAAAATGAATTTCAAAAAGGTACTTACCTCTGAAGTGCTGAAAGCTCTTTTCTGTAGAGTTTGCAAACATGCTGTTAACAAAACATGTAACCACATTTTTTGCAAAAAAAGGTCCTTTATGCACTACAGAGCATGTGTTATTTAAGCATCTGTAATATTCACTTTCATCATCCTTGCTTTGTAAAAGTTTAGAAACTGCAAATATCATAAGTGAAAGAAGGTGATGAAATTGAAAAGAAAATTGAAACTGAAGAATCTGGCTAACCCAAGGATCAGTAAGCAAAGGGTCCGAGGATGAACAAAAGATCCAAAATGACTTCCAAAAGTCCAGACAGAGAAGTTGTCCAGAACAGAGAGTCAATGAGTGGGTGTAAAGACTAACCTCACATCAAAGCTAGTCTATTCACAAAATACAAGCAGACTTAGCATGATTCAATGAAAATTCCTCACTGGCCTTGGGAAGAGGGATGATGACCAGAAGCAAAACAAAATGCTGAAACCATAATAAACTCCTGCTGGCGTGCTTTTCCTGAACAGGAAACCAGTTTGGGTGAAATACTTGCAAAAAACATAATGAGTTACATTTGTTGTTTTTTTGGTCACCTAAACAAATTGGAGAAAGACAAGGTACTCAGAACCCAATAGATCAATAGGCTAGAGTCAAAAAGAGTACTAGAACCACATGGTAATAGGGAAAATATCAGTGTGACTCATAAGTAATGAAGATAGCAAAGTAGATATTTGTTCTTTTCTAAAATAATCAGACCAATAATAACAACTAATAATGATGGAGAAAACAAGACAAATCATAGCAAGCAGGGCAGAAAACACACAATGGGTCTAAGGATAAAAAAAAAAAACCCTCACCTCTCAGTAACCAAACTGAGGGTGAAGAACTTTAGAAGTTACAGAAGAAATGGAAAACAAAGTCTATTAATATTATGCTATTACAAGTTACAGCTTTTACAGTAAGGAAGAACATTTATAAAACAGGTACAAAGTCTATTAATACTGAGCAAGTTACTGACAGCATCTGCAAAAACCAAATATTAGGAGAGAGGAGAACTAATAATGGATTAAAGTACTGAATTGTCCAACACAACAAAAGCACCCTCAGGTATACAGAAATTGGTTCAATATTTAAACTACAACATACCCAAGAGAAAGAGAGAAGAAAAAAAAAGAGCTGTAGTCAGGTTTATGGCTTCAAGAAAAATTCCGGCAAATAGACTTGAGCAAAAGTTCAACCTTAATTGAAATCAAGAAAAAAATGGCAAGTGTCATGAAAACTGAGCAATTACATAAAACCCACCAAAAAAACTAGCCTACAATGGCATAAATACATTGAATATGCAGATATATTGCCACTCAGCCTGCAAACTAAAGGCAAATTGCAAGAGTAAGGTCTCCAAGTCAGATAGTGGTGTATGTTCTGACATCATAATTAACACTAATTCATATAATCAATCATAACAAGATTAAAGTGTCAAAGTCACAGGGAAGGTAGGAGAATGGATAATTATAGGTAACTGACATATGCTCTGCAATGCATAAAGGACATTTGGAAATTATGAGTCACATGTTTGATAGACAGCATAAGTGCATACTCAAGATGTAAAGTGTTTTCAGTATTTCAGAGGTAAGACTACTTGAATTGAACTGTAGCTGTATGTTATCACAGCAAACATGGTTAAAGCTATTATTGAGTATCACACACTTCATTTTGTTTGTAGATTCTAAAATATCAACTTCAAGTGCTATTGGCAAAGAACAAGCTTTAAGCAGCAGCATTAAACCAAAGCTACAGCTGTGTTAATCATGCATTTCTAATCAAGCAATCAGAACAAATGACATTCAAGATTCTATAGTATATCTGTACTCCTCATAATATATATATTTATACAACAGTATACAAAATCTTTGCACAATTTCTTTTTTTATGATCACTAGAAAAATAACTTGGCTGTACATATTAAAGAACCACAATATATTGTGTGACAGGCTGACAAAAACATTTATCAAATATTTGGGGTTTTATGAAATACATTAATAATGAAAGAAAATCCTAATTGAAAATGACAATATAATAATTGATAACAGTTATTGCCCCCAAATTAAAAAGATGAAACATTCTGGTTCTCCGTTTCTTATCTGTGACAATATTTGTTCTATTATAATGCTTACTGTTTTTCTCTTGTTTCTCAGCACTGTTTTCACTCTCCAGACTTCGTGGTCTTGGGCTGTCAGAGTTACTTCTCATGATTGGAAATGGTTTTTGTCTATCAATCTCTGGTGTGAAAATGTTATAAAACATGGATTTTATGAATATCGTAAGTTCATAAAAAATATAATGTTTATAACAAAATGTACACAAAAATGTGTTATATAAGAATACCAAGTGTTTTCTTCTACCTTATTTAACATAGTATTTGTTTTGGAATTAATCAGTTATTGTGTGTATGTGCATTTTTCACATAACACATGGTTAAGAAAGATGTTAAGTTGCTTTCATTATAGCTGTCTTTGTTCTTTTTCATTCTCTTGAGGAAACATCTGGTCTGCCCTTGGAAGATATGGCTGTAATGCTGCATATTGAGCAAGGATGTTGACATCACTGTCCTCAAGTAGCCAGTCAGATGATGCCTCAAGATTATAACCTCCTTTAAGTTGGAATGAAAATGACCAGTCATGTGGGTGGTGTTAGTTGTTTTGAGTATATGATTTCTGTCAAGTCAATCAGGTAAAATTTATCCCTGATCCAGTAAAAGCAACTGTTTGTCATCAAACAAGCATGTACACATACTGTGTTAGTGTAAATAATAAAGATTGTTCATTTGTGTTCTACATGGTGTCCAGTCTCTTTTTTTCAGTTCTCATAAACTGCAATAGATATCTTGTTGAACTTCCTGTTATTCAGCAGATCTATCCTATCACTATAAGAAAAATCAGTTACCTGAATATAATACATATGTAACATACTTGTCACCCAAAATCTAGCTGATTACAAATGTGCTAACTACATAAAGAAAAATCCATAAAATATCATTACTGCTAAACTTGGCTATCTTATAAATTATAATACTATAAGTCTGGTCAGTTATTCTACTGACTGGTAGATCTATTGTTTAAACTAATTTTTAATTTTATAATAATTTATTTTTGATTGCTAACAGTACCTAAATGACACTCGGAGCTGCCACTGATTGGGATAGGATCTGATGATTTAGAGCAAGTCTTCACTTCAACAGCTGCATTTTCACTTCCATTGGATTCTTCTTTGGCTACAGATTCTTCCCGTAAAGTTGGAGAATCCTGGAATGATATATATATACCATAAATAATTTTACTGCATTATTCAGCAATTATAAGTGTATTTATTAAAACATGAAAAGAGAAACTTACTTATTTAGCAATTCTTTCCTTTGTCTTCATGTTCTTAATAATCAATAAAGTTAAAACAATGCAAAATTATAAACTTCTGTGAGCCATAAAATTCTCTCACACAAATTATAATCTTTAGAAAAAAAAATCACACACATCTTACATGATACTGCAGTTTACCTAGTGTAAAATATAAGTATTATTTGCTAATGATGTTGTTTATCAGCTAATTTTGTTTTTCTTATATCCAAGTATTAAGTCTGAAAAAACAACAGTCTTATCACTGAATTATAGCATTTTGGCATAATATAGCAGATGGTATACATAGAAAATTACATAGAAAAAGTTTTTATGAAAACATTCCAGGCTCATGTAACATTCAAATTCTTAAACAAAACAAGAAAACATAAAGACAACAAGTATTGTGTCTTTTTTGGTTATTTTACTATAACCAGTGCATAAAAATAAGTACTTCTTAAAGAAGATAATGACAGGAAATTACAAGTTTTTCAAACTGTGATTATTTCAATAAACTAAAATGACTAATTAGCTAGAAATTATTACTTGTTAGTTATCTTATGTTACTATCTGTTAGTATGCCAGAAAAAAAATAGGGAAAAGTTATAATTGGTGTTCAAATATATAATCCATTAATATTGCTTGACCAAACAGTTTCTTTTCACAAGTGCTTTGTACTTTAAAAAAGGAATTGACATTTTATGTTCCTCATGATATTAAACCTTTCCAAATGAAACTAGAAGCACTTTGACCCCTAACTGACTTCAATAACCAACATCAAACAATAAATCAAGGGTCCTTTAGACCAGAGAATTTCCTAAGGATTTTTTCAACTTTTTAACTTCATCATTTTTTAATACATGATGCTCTATTGTTTGTTTGTTTGTTTG